TTTTTTTTTTTTGTGATATGATATAAAAAATTATTTTTTTAATATAAAAATCTGTTTATTATATTAAAAGTACGAAATGCATTATGACGCCTATTCTCCGCATTGACACGCTTAAACTTGTGATTCTTGATTCTCGACCTCGACGCATCACAACGCATTACGCATTTTAGAACACTGAAACAAACCCACCACCACCGCATCCAATCCAAAAACTATGAGGCTGCTACAAAACAAACTGGAGGAAAGATGCTGGCCTTGGCTTCTTGTGTAGACGTTGTTGTAGCTTTGCCTCCCTGCTATGCCGTCGCCTGGGATGGCATTGTTCCCACGCTGGAGTCATCCTCTACTTTCGGCATCTCTCTACCGACAAACACCACCATCACCACTGTTGGTCACCCGCTCATTCCTCCATGCTCTACCGGGTGGACGGGTGGGGTGCCCCTTATTTTACTGTCAATTCGTCAGGAAATATTTCTGTTCGCCCCTATGGCGCGGAAACCCTGACCCTCCAAGAGATTGATTTCCTCAACGTAGTGAAGAAGGCCTCTGCCCCCGAATGCTTCTGGTGGGCTTGGTCTCCAATTCCCTCTTATTGTTCATTTTTATGATGTTCTCAAAAATCGGCTTGAAACTCTGCAGTCGGCTTTCGATTTCGCTATTCAATCCGAAAACTATAAGGCTCATTGCACCAAATTGAAATTCGGCGGTGGATTGTTGATGTGGGTGGTGGTCTTCGACGGTGGACGGTGGTCGACGGTAGGCATTGGTCAACGGTGGGTAGATGGGAGATTTACAGAGATAAGGGAGGGGAGGCGCGAGAGAGAGAAAGGTGAGGGAGTTGAGAGTGATAAATTATGGTTAGGATTTTAATATATTACCTGATTTTTGAATAATGAAACTTGATCTCTGATTTTTGAATTTCAATCTTCAAACACCTGAATTATGTAATTTTCCCATTGATTAGACTACTTCCAATGGTCTCAAATAGTTTTAGGGTTGGATCATCAATCTTAGGTGTCGATACAATACTTATCCAATATCGATTTTACATCATTCCCCGAGATTTATTGAGTATCAAAAAACCCAACACTCCTATTTTTCATTGCAAAGTTTTCACGCAATTGAACCAAAAATAGGGACATCCCTTTAATACAATATGTCGTGAAAAAATATTATTTGCAAGTTTCGTTGCTACGAAGTGTTTGTATGAGCATTTTATCGTTATCTTGGGAAGAGTAACAAGGTTTAACTTGGGAACAAAAATAAACAACATTGATCATGTGTTAGAGAAAAATTTCTACGCACACAATGTAGACAACTCTTCATCATAATCCTGGTATACATTAACTTCTTGTAAATAAACTATAGTAGTTTTCTCCTACTCAAACAAAAGTCTGGTAGGAATCTCTTATTTATAGCATTATTACTGTTTATATGTAATATTATAAATATTGTCAATATACATAGCAAATTTAGGTTGCTAAATTATTTTAGCTCTCTTAAACACCATGAATTGGTCCATACTATTTTTTTAGGGTTTTGTACTTTTGTTTTATCAACTTTGAAATTTTTGAACCCTCCTCTACCGTTGGTTACAATATCGACACGTGAAAATTCAATGGACATTGTTGGAGAGTAGGTTGTAGAATTTAATTTGTAATTTTTCTTTTAATTAATTTTACTTTTGTCTACTCACACGGAACTCGAGCAACCAGTTTTTCCATTTGTACTGGGGAGGTTGACAACCTCTCACATGCGCGCGGGCTCCACGTCAATAAAAAATTTGAAAAAAAATGTGCCCCCATTGTGAGTGCTCGGTCAATCTTTTCTGTCAACCATTTTATCTATACAAATAGCATGGTTGGCATAGTGATTGGCTTTAACTTCTCATACAAGAGTCTCATATCATAAAATGTACCCGCAACTTCCATTTTTACTACACGCTAATTCTTTCTTTTTAAAATAATAATTATCTTTGATATGTGAAAAAACTATTTAGGGCGTGTTCGGTAGAGATTAAAATTTGATTAAAATTGAAAAACTAGCCGTTATTGTTGACTTTTATTAGACGAGTGAGACCCAATAACGACCTTATTTTCGATTAAAATTGGATTTTAATCCTGGGCAAACATACTAAGAAAACAAAAATGCACATTCTATTATACAGCAAGTACATTTTTTGCCAAAATAATCCATTTGTGCAATTTAATTACTTCAAAAATACAGAAAGGGATTGTCAAACATAATTCTACTGAAGTATACACTATAATTATTCACTGAAAATTAAATAATTGCATGCAGAAAGGTCCATGTAGCCGGTAAAAAAACTAGTAGTCGCTTTCCTTCCATCCACCATATTCTTCTTCTTCTTCTTCGACAGTTTTTTCCTGTAATCAAATAACATTGAACAAACCTTGTATATCAGTAATAGATTTTTATAATCTCTATTTCTTAGAAAATAAAAAAGAAATTAATTTCATATGATTAATTCATAGAGTTTGAGGGATATTATAAAAAAGGTACCTTAGCAGTGAAAGTAATTCCAACTTGAATCTCTCCATGATAAGTTTGATCGGTGGAGACAACTCTGTATTTTTGAAGATGAAGTTCAGCTTTACCATTTTCCATCCCTATTTTTATAATGTCTTTCACGTAGATCCTGCAAACGTGTTTAGTCTACAATAAATTACGCTGGACTAGAAAGAATAAGATTGAGCATGTAGTAAAAAATATGAGCGGAATTACTCTGCTTCGCCGAGATAATCATCTGCACTGAAGGTGTCGTGATCCATGATCTTGAGCACGAGTTTGTGTTGATCATCATCTATGAATGGAGAATCGACCCTGAACTCGAACTTCTCATTCCATAGTGGGCGAGTGCCTTTTCCTGCGCATGCATTAAATATATATAGTAAGACCATCTATAGTGACATTTTATCAGGAATGATAACCTCTATATAACACGGTAAGAAGTCATAATTTTTTTAAGTCTCATCTTTGGGAACTTGTCTCCACAAAGTAATACTTATCAATAATCCCAAAAAAAAAAACATATATATATATATGTTTACCTTTTGCAATGGTGCTCTTGCACTCTTGTTTTCTGTACTGAAGCAAAACATATGGATCTATCCCACCTGCAAAGTTACAATAAATATCCATCAAATTATTTTTCATCGCATTGACTAGGTCATTTTTAGGTGTTCTTGATTGTCTTAGAATTTGGAAACTAATCAGCCTTTAAGAAAATAAATATTCTTTCATGTAATTTTATAAATGGAAAATGCTTGGAAGCTCAAGAATTGCAGAAGGATGATCAAGAAATTTCTTTTTGGGTTCAACCCTTAAACTGGATTTCAGTATCAAAGTAGAACTCAAAACAAGAACCAGCCTTTTTTTTTTCTTTTAGTTTTGAAGAAATGCATGTTGTGATAATCACATCAGATCAGAAATAAAGATGGAGCCATCCATACCTAAGAAATCAGTGTTTTTGAGACCTTTAGCACTCACCAGCTTCACCTCCATTATTCCAATCACCATCTCTTCTCTCCTCTCTCTCTCTCTCTCTAAGAAGATGTTTTCAAATTCTGCGTGTGTCGAAAATTTATGATACAAAAAACGAGAATCTTTGGAGTAGTCAATTGTTTGTAAGATCCAATTTATTGCGTTGTAATTTATGATGGGGTACTTCATTTTATAGACACGCAGATGCAGTACATACTGGCGGCTGAATTAATTATCATATAAAAAGTTGAATGATATCTTCACCTCTTTCCGTAGGTTAGTTAGAAGTTTGGTGTGATAGTTAAGACAGTATTAAATGATCAGAAAATAAATTAAACTTTCATTTGTTATACTATAAATTACTTCAATATACATCAATTTTGATGCATTTGGATTTCATTATAAGTTAATAATGTCACATAATTGGTAGTAGTTGTGCATAATGTACGGTTAAAGTTAAAGTTTGATTTCCACTTTTAAATTATGATGTACTTATAATGAAATTCAAACGAGCACTAGATTCCTTTTTATGCTAAAATTATGGTTAGTTATTATGAGATTGTTTGTTGAATAAAAATATCAAAGTTGAGAGATTTTCAATTCTTTCGATGTAAGTCGTTATTCCATGAAATCAGACAATTTATTGATCAAGAATTCATTCTTGATTATAAAGTAGAATAAATCTAAGTATACAACATTGATTGACAACAATATTTGACAATCACGTGTTGTCAAAATTCTGCCATATGATGTAAAAAATAATTTTTTATAATGGATGGATATGATGATGTCAAATAAGATGTTATCATCTAATATTGTCAACCAATATTGTACATATAGCATGATTCTACAAAGTATTTATACTATTCTTGCGAAGAAGTAATTTGTATTCAATATTCTTCATTTATAGTTAATTTCCCACTTTGCATTGCATCAAACGGTCATATGGAATGGCTAAAGGGAGAACGAGTTTAGGTTCTCATTTAAAACCTTGATAGGTACATAATTTTTAAGAAGGAACGGTCTGGAAACTTGAATCTTGTAGACTTTCTAGTTATAAGAAGATATTGAACGATCTCATATAAATATTATTGTAAATAAGCGACTAATTTATTTATTTGAATTGTATCTTATCGCAGTCCACCCAAAAATTTTAAAAATATATCAAGAAATCATATATTATTTTTAGTGTATTCTCCTTTAAGCCCTTTAGTTTATGTAATTTGACTTCCCCCAATTGCCTTCCGCCTTCTCCTCATATTTATTTAATCCGCGGGCGATAATTGACCCAAAAAGTTTCCATGTGAGAAACAGATGAAATATATTTTATTTTCAATTGCAACGTGACAATGTGGTAACATCTAAGCAATAATTGACCTACTCTTGGATGAAACGCATCAATAGGGAATCACTTGTTACAAAAAGTATACTATTGACACCCCAACCCATGAAAAAAAAAAACCCCCCCTTGTATCCATTTTGTATTTATCGAATTCTAATCATCTGAAAATTAATCGATGCCCAAGTGTTTTTCATCTCCATATTTGAGTAATCTAACCATGAATTACTTATTCAACTTCTAATTTAGAATTGCAATTTTGTAAGTTCCTTAGTTTAAAAAGTTAATAAACAAGGAATGTTCAAAAAAAGTCATCTTGCAGAATTTGTGAGATTTAGTTCTTCGAAGTACGTTTCATTGAAGTTTCGTTACCTGCTTCCGTTGACTGTCTCAATAGCTGGCCATGAATCCATACATTATAGAGGAATTTTAAAACAAAGCTTCACATTAACCCCCCACAAGTTGCAGAAAAAGAATCCCATAATGCCTGAATAACAAAAAAAAAACAAGACTTCAACGTTCATCTATAGCCATCCCACGGGCCTAACAAATGTAATTAAACCGGATTGAGGGATGGAGATAGTGAAGCTGTTAGGCGTCAAAGTGGACCATGACGGCCGACCGCTGACTGCCTAAGTCTGTGGGTCGAGCCATACCACCTTACACGAGGTGTCGACTTATTTTGACGGCCCATCCCACAGGTCCAAGCCATGGACGAGGTGTCAAAGTGGACAATGGCCCATCTTGATGGCCAGACCACTGCACCAGCCCGTGTCCAGGACCAAGCCATGCTGCCTTAATGTCATGGTCCAGCAAAGTGCTAAATATAATGTGCCACCAGTTTTGTTCTCAATTTCTCAGCAACACCGGCTTCACTTGAATTATTATAAATGTGCAAAATTCCCGACAGAATTATGAACACCATTTCCTCTATTACAAAGTTTCTCCAATTTAAGAGGAAAAGTCAATACAAAACCAGGGGACAAAAACAAAGTAAAAGAAACTTTTAACACATTAAGGCCGAGTTTTCAATTTTGTTTGATAAGCCTGTTGATACTAACCGGGCTGATATTATTTCTTCTCTAAATTTTCTGATTGTGGACACCCGCAATCAGTGGATGGCATCCACTTGCAAGCTGAAGGAGAAGGATAATCGGAAACACTAATCCGAAATGTTTGTTGCTTCTCTTCATTCTCCGGGACATGGAGTAGAGCTTCCATAATGAGGATTTCCCAGTCACGGGAATGCAAAAATGAAAACCAAGAATCCTCTGTTCGAAAGAAAAAAGTGATTTAACATTATATAAACTAGAAATGAAATGAAGCACTATCCAATAAACATTTGAAAAGTTAATTTTTTTTCATTTTTTTTTTCGACTGATCAAATTAACATTTTAGAATGAGTAGAACGAACCTCCATTACGAACTGCTTTCAACTGAAAGATTCCAGTGCCTTGGGGTCCAGAAACAGGAAATGTGCATGATACAGAATGGCGTTTGTGAGCTACTGCTAGTGATGCATTGTACCAAGGACCTCTTGCAATAGGCTCACCAATGGCATCAATTATAGCCTGGTTCTTACTGGCTCTCTCCATGGCCTTGCTGCAATAGATCAAAACCATTCAGAATAGACCCATAAAACTTCACTGAAAACAGGCTGAAAGAAAACCCAAAAATTTTCTCGATGTTCTATCTATCTACATAAAGTAGGGAGCTGTGATCATATATGAATTTCTGGCAACCTATGATGCACCGACCCGGACTCGTGTGTCCGACACGATGCGTGTGGGATACGCCGATACGATTTTTCAAAAAGATACTGAAACAACATGTCTCCGATACGTTAATTAAATTCTTTAAAATTCTTCTTTTATATAGTATAAATTTAGTTTTATACTTGTAATTAATTTTTCTTGTTGAAATCTTTTACATATGAGTGCCTATTTATTATTTACTAATAATTTTGAGTTAAAAATATATAATATTTTTAATGAAAAATGTTTATAGTAGAGTGTCAGTATCGACGCGTGTTGGACACGGACATACTACCCTAATCGAAGTGTCCGTGCTACAGAACTGGCAACCCAAACATTTGTAGAATATGATCAGAGCAAAAACAAAGAGAAATTACATATCATATTTCACTGCCCCTCTTGCTATGGTTAGCTATTTTTCTTTTTTTAATTTACTAAATCACATTCAATTTAGTCCAAATTCACAAAATAATAGAGCAGTGAAAGTCAAACAAATTTTGACCACATGATACATGACAATGCACAATACAACAGCAATGAATCGTTTGATTGATGGCATGCTATGCATTGCAAAATAAACAAACCAACCAAACATATTTGTCTGTAAGGGATAAACCCCGTACCTTCCCACTCGTTTGATAGATTCTAGTTCTACTCATGGAAATTAACAAAACGTGGTAAGTTCATTTGTTTTTTTCACTGGAAAAATAGAGCTTCAGTGCAAATTGTTTTGATCTTCACAAGTGATAATGTCAAAAAGTTTAGGTTTATGGTTATATCTAGTCACTGGATGCAAATATTTTTAAAGCTTGTCTTCATATCTAGTCAGCCACTCCATGCACACCCTAGATTGAATCCCCCTATGTACTATAAAAAAGAGTTTCTAACTGACTATGAGCTCGTTTTCCCGAAGATCACCAAATTAATAGCAATTGTACAACTATTCTAGTTAGAAATTCAAGTGCTTCCATTGCATATAACATTAATCCCATAGCAGATTTGCTTTCAACATTATTCATGAAAAGGCATGGGATAAACAAATAAACTGAAGATTTTTCCCAAGGCTCTATTTGTTTTGAGGACAAGGAAAGGAAAGGAAAGGAAATGGAATGATAAGACATGAGAGAAATGGAAGGGAACTAATGGACTATAAGACTAAGAGACAATAGAACATATTGAGCGTTCCTTTTGTCCCTCTACTTATCACAGGCAAAAAGTGTAAACTCTTCATTCCTGTCCCTTGCCTTCCATTCAAGACAAACATTAATAAATTTCTTCCTGAAGGAAGTACAGTCCCATCTTCAGGTCTTTGGATATAATAACAAGAGAAGTAAACGAAAAATGATTCAAACTGTTTTGTAACATAAGGAGCACGTGAGAAGAGATAATCGATTTCATGCGTCATATATGCATTTTACCTCTAAATCTTGTTGATGTAAATTGAAATACAAAAATGGAAAGGATGTATGTATCATTTCCCTTCAGTTTTTCCATCCAACTATGAGCACTTAGGCTAAGATTATTTGGAAATAAGTAAATTACTTATTTCAGTAAAGTAAGTGTGGCTTTAAAAACAGTGAGTAAAAAAAAAGGTAAGTTCTCTAACATGTTTGGAGACAAAAAGTTATTTATAAGTAACCTCACATTTGAGATGGATTTTGCAATTTAGTAAGGAGGGTTCATATTTAGTTGTCTTCACTTCCACTTGCTGTTCCTCACCAAACAAGAGATATGTGATCCTTTAACTCTGTTACTAATCTAACTGCTCTTCTCACACTTAAATCCAAAGAAAATGCACAAATTAGCTGGTAAAAACCTACTTATTCAAGGAAGAATCTCTTCTTTAGAAAAGTGCATAGACTTCCTATGCCTTAGTTTCATTTCGAAATTTCTTTCAAGGTACGTGTATACATTTCAGCTCACAAAATGATTGTTAGAACTAAAAATAATAGAATTACGAAACATACATTTCATCACTACAACAAAAGAAGGGCATTGGTCCCATTCTGGTAATGTACTTCCAATCTATGCTGATGCTTAATATAGCAGAACAAGAGCTGTAGTGTTCAGTGTTCTAATCCATCTAATCTAATAATGACACTTCAAAATACAGAGTTGATTGCTAAGTGTAATGGTCATGTTAATTCAAATTACACTTGTTACGTCATTCTTCAAAATATACCTAATTTTTATTAAAAAGCAACTTCAAAATACTGAGTTGATTTAAAAGTCTAATTTCATTGAATTTCATTTATACTTGTTACTTCATTCTTCAAAATATCCCCAAATTCTTAAACAAAATTATCGAGTGCGCGGCTATAAATTTCGATGGAAAATGTATAAAAAAAAATAACAAAACATCCCAAAATCTCAGTTATATAAACGTTAAATCAATCACTAACCAGACAACCGAATAAAATCTTCCAATGTTAATTTTTACTTTTCCCTTATAACGAAAGATGCGGACAAAACCCGAATTTAGAGGAACAAAATGAAATGGAAAGAAATTTTGATTAAAAAATACTCTATTTCATAAAGAGCGTAACCTGCTACAGCCATGGTAAATGGCGAGATCATCAAGAGCGCTCAAAGCGACGCCTCCTGTCAAACAAATTAATGCCCCCGAAACCACTTTGAAACCCCATGATTTTGTTTTCCCTTCTTCTGCCGCCTTGGCCTGTGCTGGTAGTGACGGTACGGCGGTGGCGGCTCTGCTCTTCAGCAGTGACATGATCCTTCGACCCACCATCCCTTTGCCCCTCTCTCGGCTCTGTGTACGGGAAGATACGAGAAGATGGTCGCACCCGTGGAGGAAAAATGGGCCTTCGAGTAATTGGGCCATTAAATTGAACCCGCAAGAACCATTCTTAGTGCATTCTGGCCAGTTAGTGGGTAAGTGGTCCGCTCACAGTTTGATTTGGTCTAGTTTTTGGAAATTGGGCCATGTGGCCTTTACTATTGGGTAGAATTTGTCCACTAGAAAAAGATGTATAGTTATAGAAGAATAATGCCCCTTGTATAATGTTGGGTTACAACATCTCACAAAGTAGGTGGAGCCACTATTATTTTAAGGGAACAATACATAAATAAGGTATTTAAGTATCACCATTTCAAAATTAAGATTTGAAGTTTTAAATTTCAAAAAGCAGGTTTTCATTAAAATTTATTTATAATTTAATTAATTAATAAATATATAAAGGTCACATATCTATGCAATTTAGTTACAATTCAAAAATTTTAAGGTCACAATTCAAAAATTTTAAGATCACAATTCAAAAATTTTATAGGTCACGGTTCGTTCATCGATCACAAATTAAAAATTTAAAAGTCACAAATGTTTATCGGTCACGAATCACAAAATTTATAAGTCACAAAACTTATTTTATGATCACAGAACATCAAATTATAGGTCACATATTACTTTTATTGGTCACAACTCGATTATAACTTAATAAATTGTGAGTCACATTCATTATTTTTAGGTCACACGTTATTAATTTGTCAAAAATTAACTAATTATTGGTCATAATCAATCAAATAATTGGTCACATACACCCACCACCATTGACATGACACCGCACACACCCAACCGCGAATTAGTCACATATTAGTCAGTCACAATCATCCAAATTGGTCACAAACCACTTCACCACCGCACTCTACCCTACTCTACCCTACCCTACTCCACCACCACCATAGCTGCAGCTGCCCCCGCCAACTAGCACTACCGTCGCCAATACACCACACCATCAACCTCTGCGCCACTACCCGCAACACCACCAATCTGTAAATGCCACCGAACGTCGAGCCACTCTCACCATTTGTGAACCACAACCGCCAGGACCACATCACCATCATAACCACCATTGCCGCCGCCACAACCACCTGCGCCCCCATTTGCAAAACACCATCAAGAACCAATAAAAATCACCCCAAATCACCGGCTAAACAGCGGATCGAAATAGGAAGAAACCATCCCCAAAAATCATAGCACGCGTAGTCGCAGCAATCTAAGCACCGTACAGATCCAGATCGGAGCCATCGCCACAGACATCATCTCGATTTTGTGACACCACGTCGCCGGAGAGTCTCTTCCAGGGGACGTCGCGACATGGGAGAAGAAATTGGGCAGGGCGGCGGGTTCGGTTGACTGGTAGAAAGAAAGATGAAATGTGAGAAGATAGAGAGAGAGAGAGAGAGAGAGAGAGAATGAATGGGAATAGAAATAGAAATGAATTAGGGTTTAATTTGTAATATTTAAATATGAATTATTAATTATTAATTAAAACCTGATTTCTGTATAATTAAACTTGATTCATGATTTATGAAAATGGAAATTTAAAACCCATTCTAGCTGTAATTTCCTCTTATTTTAATTGTGGGGCCCACCTCCATTGTGAGAAGTTGTAACCTAATGTTGTAATACATGTATTGTACATGTAGCATTGTTCTAGTTAAAATTAATATTTGATTTTAGAAAGGGGAAAAAAATCATATATGCCTAACTAGATTTCATCAATGATCTAGTCACTATCGTTGTAATAAAATATCGATTTTGTGATGGTCGATAACTAGATTTCATTTGCAAAGTAAAATGCATTAAATTCATAGAGCAATGGCCTTGCTGTGATCCATTTGCACTTGTAACATCATTTTTGTTATTTAACGTGAACATGTCCGTTTCGTTGCACTTACGTGAGTTCCGAACCTATTCGAAATATGACAAGCATGTCACCCTGATCAATTTTTCAAAGGAGACACACCAACCTTTTAATTTTGTGACAATCAGAACCAACCATGGCTAATTTTGTTTGTCGCTTCATGTTCTAACTTGTTATACTGATATTAGTCACTTTTTTAAATTGAAAGGAAAATGCATGAAGAAAACAATATTGTTGACTGTTTTTAATGGAATTACAGTATCAATATCTAATTACAGAACTCAGAGAACACAATTATTATCCATACAGAACTTCACAAAGTGATGGTGCAAGTAAATAAACTCCCCAAGTTATATAGGATCTCCTCGCACCACCTATGCATTTTGTCTGTCTTCTAATGTCATGAATTATGTGCCATTCGAATTTTTCCTTTCCCATTCAAGTAACAACAGGGGTCGCAGATGGTCTTGGATAAGAAGCAGCCTTACGACTCGAATCTTCGGCGAAAATCCGATGATGTTTTTGGACAACCTCAGTTTTGACACTCCCCGTGTCCTGGAGTTGCTCCAATGCTTTTACCACCTCATCCATGTTCGGCCTGTATTTGGGTTCTATTGCTAGGCATTTGACGGCAAGAGTAGCTGCCTTCAATGCTCCGGTTGGTGAGTATTGGCCTTCTATGCGGGTATCCATAACTCGGAATATTCTGCGTTTGCTGGCCAGATAAGGGCAAGCCCATTCGATAAGATTTTGTTCCCCATGAGGGCGATTTTTGTCTATTACACGACGCCCAGTTAGCATCTCAAGAAGAACAACCCCAAAACTGTATACATCACTTCTTGCAGTTAAATGGCCTTCAAAACAAATGAACCGAGGATCAGAAGGAATGAACAAAAATAATTCAAAATTAACAATTGACGAGAAGTTGCAGTTGAAGTTGCGGGGATTCAACCTTATAACATACATTCATGTCAACTGTAATTACACTTCATATGACTAACATTTTTGGTGAATTAGGGTCTAATCTGATCTTGTTCAGCACACATGTCGAAATTCAACCAATATCCACCTAAAATAATTGGAAAGAGCATTACAGAAGGAAAATAAGTGAAAAGTGTTAATACCTGTGGCCATATACTCTGGAGCTGCATAGCCAAAGGTACCCATTACTCTTGTAGATACATAGCTTTTACCATCCATTGGTCCGTCCTTGGCCAACCCAAAATCAGATAGCTTCGCATTGTAGTTCTGTCAAATCCATCGGTTAAAGTTTGTAACACACCCAACATAGAAACCGTCATACAATCAAATGGTAAAAACTTTTGACAATTGATTTCTTATTGTTCCACGTACCTTATCAAGCAAGATATTGGAGGATTTGAAATCACGATATATAACCTTAGCTTCTGGGCTGTGAAGATACGCAAGCCCCTTCGCTGCACCTAGAGCAACCTTCATACGTAGGTTCCAAGATAACGGTTGGAAGTAAGATGATCCTGTTCAAAATACGTTTATGAGGCTAAGTCGGTGACAAATTGAAGTTCCTTTTGGTAAAAATGATGAACTCCACAGATAAGATCAATAACTCACTCCTGAATAGATGATTTTCCAAGCTGCCACGAGGCATGAACTCGTAAACGAGAAGCCTGCGTTCATCCTCTAAGCAATAACCAATTAACTTTACTAGATTAGGATGGTATAACTGCCCCAGATAATTGATTTCTGTCTGAATCCAAATGAAAGATAAACGAATCAGCATATCCAGATTTTGGTTTGAATTCCATCAAATTTGACATCTTTGACAGCTTAAATGATAAAGAACGGGTCTATAGTCGATAATATTTGACAAACACAAGCAACAACAAACTAGAGCATGTCTGGTTGTGATTAAAAGTAACTTCTAAGCACAGCCTAACATGCCGTGAGCCTAATTGACAAGAAATTTGGGGTCCAGCCGTATGAATCCTTTTTCTCCATTTTGTTCAGTTCATTGCTACATCTACTACAAACTCTCTAAGATAACTAAATCCTCGGAAACTATTCTATGAACAAAATAAAAACATTTAACCACTCGAACCGGGAAAGGTAAGACTCACCAGCCACTCCTTGTGACCTTGAAGGCCTTCTTGGTTCAATCTTTTGACAGCAATAACAATTCCAGTGCCAGGTTTAGCAGCTTTAAATGTATGCTCATCAATCCATCCCTTAAAAACACACCCAAAACCACCTTCACCTAATACACTGTCTGGACGGAAGTTCCGCGTGGCTGTTCTCAGATCAATAAATTCAAAACTCTTCAAATTCGACGACTCCAAAATTTCACCCTCACTTCGAGGAGTCAATGGAATTGCATTCGATGAACTGCTACTTGTGTCTTTCACATCAGCGCTGACATATCTTGAATTTGTTCCTGCAAATACAATCATTTCAAATATCAAAAACTCCATTAAATGCCTAATAATGGTGAATCGAAAAGGCAAATTTCAGATTAAGATTTGGTATTCTAACTAAATCCACCCATTTTTTTCATCGTCCGTTCTAAGCCCTAGTTAACTTATGACAAAAATCCTAATACACAACAAGCGTATCATTACTATGTTGTCCATTAGATCAAAGACAAAAATCACATAATCCAAATATAATCTCTAAACAAATCCTAAGGTAACACAAATCATAAACAAAATCAGTTTCAACAAAATCAAAACAGCAATTTTTAGGTATGGATCCTTCTAATTCAAGAAAAACAGAATCCGATCAAAGAAAATTAAACAGTTCGATTATACTAACCATTATGACGAGGGCTATCTGCCCTTATTCTAACACTGCAACAAGAACCCATGTATTGAACCCACCAAAGTGTTTATCTGAGCAAACCCGTCTATTGTTCTTCAACAATAGAAGAAGACTGAGAATTCAATTGCTCAACCCCCCAAAATCTTTTGATGACTGTCCAAAATTCAACTACGGCCAAACCAGTTGAAACCCAAAAGTGTGAACACATAAAATATGTTTATATAAAGAAGATTTATGAGAACACGTTGATTCTTGGTGTCCCTTGTTGGCTTGAAGAGAAGCTTTAGAAAAAAGG